GGGGGGGGGGGGGCCTTTCCATGAACTAAAAGGGGGGGGGGGGGGGGCTTTTGGGGGTCTTGGGGGGGGGGGGGGGGGGTAATCCGGCCCGATCAACCGGGGGTTTTTTTTTTGGGTCCCCCCCCCATATTTTTAGGGGGTTGGGAGGGCAAAATCCCCGTTTTTTTTTAAGGGGCCCCTTCCCCAACCCCAAAATTTGAAAAAGTTTTTCCTTTTTTTTGGGGAAAACCCCCCCCCCCCCCCCCCCCGGTCGGGCTTCACGTGTTCGAGGTTGATCCGCCTGGGGTCGAGGTGGATGGGCTCCATGCCTACAGAGTTGTAACATGCATCACGACCGGAACCAATCCATGTAGTCCGGCGAAGTGTCCACCTCCCTGAGTTCAACTTCAACGGACCTTGACTCCTCGTCCAAACAATACTCCTCCCACCGATCGGAGAATCGTTCGCCATACACGGCGAATACTGAGTTTTGGACTGGTCGACCTTTGTTAACCTGAGCTTTGTAATTGCCTTTGACATGTATATACGCCCTGGAATAATCTGGATCAGGTTGAACTGCCTCAACACTCTGTCTGGATGATATGTCTCGAAGTGGTTCATGCAGCATATCATCCCACTAAACCAAACAGAATCGGGCATCGGGAAACGATCACGAAGAGCCGCGTATGGTGACCATCCTAATAAAATAATTATAAAAAAAATTTAGAAACATACACAAGTAGTAGTAACAAATTATTAAATTTGTATTTTACCTGATCAGGTATCAAATCATCCAATCGAGATCGCAAGTATATGGCTCGTTCAAGCGTCGAAATAGTCGTTGACCGAGGCTCCCATCGGCTGGCTAATGGCCCCTAAAACTCCATCTTCAATGTGCCACCCGCCAAATATGGAAAGTGCTCGTAAATCCATGATTGGAAGAGCGCCAGCCAGCCAGCCATCGAGTTCGTTGAATTTTGGGAGGCTCATGATAGTTCATCGTACAACCGGCAAAGACATGCAGTGCCCCAAGCATACTTGCCGATCCGATCCAAATCAGTGACGTGATTTAGATACTCCACGCTTACCATGTTGTCGGTCTTGTCGCACAATATGGTGAACCCCAACAAAAATAACAAATACGCCCGAATGGCGTATAACCTCTTCTCCGCACTATCTCTCCGGGTCACCTTACTAAATTTGTCCTTCAACCATTCCAATTTCACTGCTTTCCTCTTATCCACATCTTCCGGGTATTCATTCACCTAGAAATTTGAGCATCAAATTACTGGCATGCGTATTGGAATCACGTGTCAAACATTCGCAAGGTACAGTACGTCCAACAACTGGCAAACCGACCAATGTGCTCACATCAACAAGTGTGATGGTCATCTATCCAACAGGTAAATGGAACGTGTTTGTAGTTGGCTGTCATCTCTCTATGAAGACTATAAGTAGATGGCCGTCCAAGTGTTGTACGAGGCGTGTACAACTGACATTAATCGAGCTCTCTGTACGGCCTCCATAATAAATGGCGCCAACATCCCGCCATTCAACCTCTGCATGTGATTCCGCAATCGAAATTCGGCGTCGCGCTCTGGACTTCTATTCACAATATGATAAACAATATGCTTATCAAATTTTATGTACAACTCCGATATGTCAGGGCCTCGGACCGGTTGGTTGCTCGAATCACAGACTTCAAAGTCGATGGAACAGGTAGATCTGGCACCGGATTCATTGAGGAGGAACCCTCTCCAGACTTTATAAGTGTATGTTGCATCGGAGCCTTAAACTGCGCAGACGAATAGCTCTTAGTCTTGGTCGTAGTCATGGTTGTCTTGCCCTTGCCCTTTCCCTTATCTGATAGTTCCTTCCTTTTCTTACAGTTCGAGACAGTCGAGGGTATACGAGGTTCGCGTGGTTCTTCCGTGCAAAAACCCGAAAATAACACACAAATAAATAAATATTCATAATTTAAAAAAGAAACAAATAAAAATTGGAAAACAAAAGATTAATATTAATTACAGTAACAATTCGACAGGTTCCTGTTGAAAATGGTAG